ACAATAAAATTTATACTTGATATTTGTCATAGGTATTCTTAAAATACAGAAGTGAAAACTCTATAATAATATTCTCACTATCTTAATAATAAACTTGGCTTTCACTTTACAACAGAGTTTACTCTAGAAAAGAAAACATGGTGGTGTGGGGTAGCGGTTAGCAGAGTGCTTCGTTGCTGATGCCAGCCAGGTCAAAGCCATTTACATTGTTGTTCTCCAGGCAGAAGTAAAACTTTTGGGGGTTAGGGGGTGATTTTGATAGACAGGGTGGGTGGTTCCATTCTTTCCTTATTGAATTGTAGGGGAAACTTACTCCAAGTCTACATGTAGTGCATAAAGCAGCAATACCTGCGTTCAGATTTAAACTTCTCTTCAAAAGCTTAAGGTCAGAATTAATTTATTCTGCTGAAAGAATGCAAGTCTTTTTAATAATGTAATCAAATATACAGTGGTGTGATAGTTTGCGCCTTTTCCTGATTACTTTTTTTATTTTACATTTGTCACACTTCAGTGTTTCAGATCAATAACAAATTTAAATATCAGACAACAATAAAACAAGTATACATAAAATGCAGTTCATAAATTAAGGTCCTTATTATTAAAGGGAAAAAAATCTAAACCTACAGGGCCCTGTGTGAAAAAGTGAATGTACCCCTTGTGGTTTATCACATCTTTCGAAAGCTGAATTTAATTTCCCTCGCCTCCCACAGGCCTGAATGCTGCCACACCTGTTTTCAATCAAATCACTTAAACAGGACCTGCCTGACAAAGTAAAGTAGACCAAAAGACACTGAAAAGCTAGACATTATGCTGAAATCCAAAGAAACTCAGAAACAAACGAGAAATAAAGTCATTGAGATCTATCACTCTGGAAAAGGTTATAAATCTCTTTCTAAAGTTTTGGGACTCCAGAGAACCGCATTAGCTGCGTTTCCATTGCAAATGTGTGCAAAACTTTGTCGATATTCTGTTAATGTCGAAAAAACACAGTTTCGCAACTGTGGTGTTTCCATTAAGAAATGCTATTAAAGTCACACGTGAATATGTTTGTTCTCGCGATAAGTTAGGGGTGGGCGATATGATCAAAATTTTATATCACGGTATTTTCAACATTTTCACCGGTTTCACGGTATTTGACGGTATTTTTCTTTTCGTCACAGCTCAGCTGATAATAAAATGTACAAACCAATCTCACGGATCTTTTCAAGTCTTACGGATTTTTTCAAAACCTGATTTTCAATTTCATCTAACATGTCAGAGCCTGTAGGATGATTAAAAAAAAA